CCCCCCCCCCCCCCCCCCCCCCACCACACACACACACTCCAACAACTGATATAACATGGCAAAAAGGTGGAAAAAAACAATTAGCTAATCTTGATAGATTTATTGAAGAAACTCAATTATTTAATAAAACTAATTTAATTAGCGTAATTATTGATAAAGTTCAACTTGAAAATACATCACTTAATCAAACATCTTATTACAATGCTATTTTTTAACACTTTATAAATGAGTTAAACGAGTTTTACAGTTAGTTATTTGAAAAAAATATATTATTATTATTTTATACAGATATCATACAGTTTTACTTCAAAATAGTTCAACCAATACATCAGAAATAGAAAGAAATTGAAGAAGATGTATTAGAACAAGATCAAAAATTAGTTTCATTAGATAATAAAAGTCAAGTTAGTATTTTTATTGTTTAATATTGTCATATGGAAATAAAATATATATGATTAGACATTGGAAGCTCATTTGAAAGATGTTTCACAACAATGAAAGAAAATCAATTAAAAACTGCATTAGAATTAAATCAAGTTTGTTTATAAATTTCTTAAATATTTTTCTATAAAAATCGAAATAAATTTAGATATTTATTATTCTAGATCTCATCTCGAGAATTAGAACGAACAAGTAGAATATTTGAAACAAGTGCAGAACATCAATCAACATTAAATGGTATATGTGCAATTGCATTAGTATTTTTAACTTATCTTGGTCCATATACATATGGATTTCGACACCTTATCTTAACTGTTCATTAGATTAAATGTATTAGAGATAGAGAAATGACTATTGTTTTTGATTAAGTATTAAAAATAGAATTATAAATTGACAATTAGATCCTATTAAAGAGAATTTACTACAAGTAAATCAGTTTTTATTTTAATTTGAAAAATTCTAAAGAAAATTTCTTTTTAGATAATTGACGAACAAAAATCATCAAATGTTATTTACTTTAATGAAATTTTTATCAGGTAATCAAATATATTATGAATGGTTAAGTAACGAAGTTTTACCATTAGAAATATAAAATCATACAATTATTATTAAATCAATTGAATATTCTCCACTTCTTATTGAACCATTTGGACAATATGATCAATGGATGACAAAATATTATAATCTTTAAAAAATTCATTTTGGTGATCAGTATGTTTCATTTTCGTACTAAATATAGTCAATTTAACATATCTTTCTAAATCTAATGTCTGCTTATCTAGAATTACCGATACCCTTTTCCACTAATTCTTATTGATTAAGAAAAAGATTGGAAAGAGATATTAAAAATATATTTTTTTATTTTAAAGATCAAAACATGATGTTATAACACCAATTGAACAATCATTTTTATCTGATTCAAAATTTTATATAAAAAATTGTAATACATTAGATAGTCTTCTTTATCCATTAGCACAATCGAAAGTAACATCACACGAATCAAATTCTAATGATGGTACATAAACTTCTTCTTTTCTTATTTAAATCTAAAATATTTGTTTAGATTCAACCACCTGATTAAAAACAAATTCACGAAAATTTTAAAAAAATAATTCAATCATTTATCAAAATAATTTAACCGTTCGTAGAAAATAAAAATATATTAAAAAATTTGTTTATTTCTTCTTTTTTTGTTTTTAGTCAATTGTCAAATGGCAATCGTTTTGAATTTTTAACTCTTCTTCAATTATTATTAAAAACAGCAGTTGAAAACAGTGATGAAAAAAGCAAAATACTCCAGTTAGAATTGTTAGCAACTGATTTACCAAGAATTGATATTTAACCTTTATCATATCCATCAATATTAACAAAAAAAACAAATTGGATCCAATCAGATCTTATTTGATTTGATATTGGTTCATTATCAAATTTATTTAATCAAGATGACTAACTACATCATTTATCAGAATCGATTTTAGAAAATGATCAACAAATTTCTCAAACTGAAAAATTACTTATTATTCGTCTATTACCTCCAGAACATTTTATTAATGCATTATCTCACTATGTTATTGAACAATTTGATTTAAATACAACTCAAATAAATGATTATGATTTTCAAGATGTTAATATTATTACATTACCAAATATTCCTGTTAAATGAAGAATACGACGAGAATTTTTAATAAATCAAATTTGATTTTCATCATTATCTTGAAGATATTCTAAAAACTAAAGGAAAAAAATAAATCATATTGATTGTCAATTTACAAATATAGTTTATAGGTTAACCGATAATGATATAGTATATTTAAAAAATGTTCATCAATCATCATTTTCTACTCTTATTAAACAAATTCGTTGTAAGTTATTTAAATCAAAATAAATTCATATTTATTTATTTAAGCCAAAGGTCAACATGATGGTGTCGTAACAAAAAATACATCTGTAGATTTAATTTGTCTTGGTGCTCGTCTTTATCAATATGATTGTTCACTTGAAGTAAAAGTTTCTTTATCAAATTTATTATATAAAAATTCAAATAATTATATTTGAGAAATAATTAGTCAATTAATATCTAATAATTCATCTGTACTTAATCAATGTCAAGGTGACGAACTTACAATTGTTTATGATTCAGTATTAATTCAACAAATATTTAAACAAAGTTCATTCACACTTCAATGGACAAGAAATTTTGCATAAATTACTTTAAATATGATCAAAATTAATAATGATCTAGATCTAAAGAAAAATTTAATTGAAATGACATTTCCAACACATTCACCATTAGTAACAAAATTATTAAATAAATTATTTAAACAAATCATCAAAAAGTACAATTAAATTAAATGAATATCAATTTGAAATTCCGCAAAATTCAAGTCAATTTAATCTTCAATAGTTTTTATCAAGATAATATTCAAAAATAAATTCTCATTTTAATGATTATCCATCAAAACAAAAACTCTTCAACATCAATTTTAACTTTTTACAGAACAACTAAATAAATTATGGCATAATAAATTAGAAAACATTTTTCAAAAATTAAATATTTCATTAATTCATGGTAACATTTATTTATCAAAAGAATGCTTGGCACCTATTTTAAATTGACCATCGATTAAAGATTTTTAACAAGATCTTATTAGTATTCCTCTTTATCAGGTATCTATTCGATCTTTTTTTTTATTAATAGAGAACATTTTCTCGATATATAGAGTGATAGAAGGAAAAATTTAATATTCTCTTTCTTGTAGAGAAGAGTCTTGCAGACATAAATTGTCTGCTTGCTTGTGTCGGTATTATCTAGGTCTGATGATCGCTGACTTTTCAAATTTATTTACAATTAGTGGTCCTGGTGCTGCATCTGACTTAGCTAATATGGTTCCACATATCGAACAACATATTAAATGGATAACAAAATGTTTGGAATGTCTACGAACACATGATATCAATATAATAGAACCTTCTCTAGAGACAGAGAATACCTGGGTTAATCATGTAAATGATGTTGTCGAAAATACTCTTTTTCAAACATCTAAGTCAATCTACAACGGAGCAAATATTTCTGGAAAACCACGAGTCTTTAAACCTTATGTAAGAGGCTTTGATATTTATATGGAAAAATGCGGAAAAATTGCCAACAATAACTATGAAGATTTTCATCTGGTGAAGTAACTACGATCATTACAGCATGGGTGATGCAAAACAATCACACTAGTTTTATTTTTTAATGTAATTTCGTGACAGAATATCGTACAGTTCTGATTTCTTTGTTTGATTCGATACGAGTGTCGACGAGACCAATTATATTTGCTTTATTCTTTTCAGATAATTCTATTTCTCACAGTACTTGTTTATTAAGCTTTTGTTACTTGACAAATTCGAAAAAAAATGAAAACAATGATGGAATTGGCTTTATTACAAAAGGTTCAAGAGCAAGAAATGATGCTTTCACCAGCATCACTAGCTATTCCTGCTGCTGGGTGTTCGCAAGGTGCTGTATCTTTCGCACAAGAACGGATATGGCTTGATGAAAAGATCCATCACGATCCATCAATATCACCTGCCATGCATAATTTTGTTCTACCTTTGGTGATTAAGCATGGTTCAATGTCAATTGAGCGCATTCGTTCGACTGTTGTTGCTGTTATTGAACAGCACGAAATACTTCGAACAGCAATTTACTTCGATAAAAATCGTAACATGTTGGTCCAAGCAGTACAATCTGTGGACAACAATGACGCTTACTCCTTTGAAATAACAGCAAACGATATACAAGGTTTTGATGAAATTGCTGATCTACTTAGAAATGAATCGGCCAAGCATTTTGCTGAATTAGAACATGGTTTAGTTGTTCGTTGTCATCTAGTTAAGGTGGGATCTGACGATGACATGGACAAATTATATCCTCAAGATTTGATTATTTTCATATTTCATGGTGTAGCATTCGATTATAATTCTATTAATCCGTTCCTTGTTGCTTTTACAAAAGCATACGATCAAATGGAACTGGATTTTGAAAGGTTACAGTATATCAGTTTCAGTCTATGTGAGCGTCAACAATTCATTAATATCCCCAAAGATTCCCAAATACGAAGAGCTCAACAGTTTTGGTCAAAACTGATGGATGACTACAGCCTTGATGTAAACTATCCGACACCATTTACGCGCCCATTCGACACAAAAAAGCGTTCTGGAGAAGGGCATAGCACATCATTTATACTGGATTCGACTCTTGTAAAAGCTCAAATGGAATTTGCATCGCTGCATGGTTTGTCTATGTTTCATACAGCATTAGCGTGCTTCTTTCTCTTTATTTATGAACTCAATGATGGTACTATTAGTGACTTGTGTGTGACCTGTCCTACAGAAAATCGATCATTCGTTGATACAAAACGCATGATTGGTACGTTTGCGAATTTATTACCATATCGTATCAAAATTAATGCAAATGAAAGCTTTATTAACTTGGTACAGCGAATTTGTCAACTGGACATGGACATTCTTAATCACTGTCAACTACCTTATCAACAGATCATCAAGGGTAATACGGAGTTATGTTCAAGCAAGATTCCGTTACATTTTCAATATGAAGAAACTCACTCTTCTTCAACTAGTGAAATAAAATCGATAGCCAAAACAAATGATGCAATATTAAGTTTATATACTGAACAACCTTGGCTATATGGCAATGGTATTGCTTCGCATGATATGAATCTAAAAATAATTCATAATCAGTTTAGCCAAACAACTTATTGTATTTTTGAATGTAGCGCTGATTGTTATGATGAAGTGACAGTATCCAATATGGGTCGATATTTTCAGAATCTACTTTCACATATCTTTACTGAAAATACGAAAACTATTGGATTCGACCCAATTTTTGAAAAAATTGGAAACCTTTCTCTTTTACCAATGAACGTTGAAAATTTATCAAACGTCATCGAATCACTACGACATTTCTCCGAAATAAGTAAGTGCTTCGAAGAAAAATCGTTTCTAATTCCTCTTTACATATCCGCATGACTTAAAACTCGTATACAATGAGCAATTTGTAGAAATAGTCTAAGCCCCTTCGAACATAAAAACCAGTAAGTTTGATAAAAGAATGTCATCAGTTTGAGAAACATCATTTTAACAAAAGAATTCTGTATGAAAGTAATTTAATATTGGAGAACTGTTTCATTACAACAGCAACGTATTGCTATTTACGAGAGATTCGAGTTTTTAACTGTGAAAATAAACCTAATAAGTGTGTAAGAATAATGTCTGACTATCATAGAACCAGTTTCATATGCTCAACACCAAATATGGCTCAATGAGAAACGTCGTTTGCATTTGGATGGACCACAATTGGCAATATACAATATGGTATTCTGCTATCGTCTCTCAGCTGATCATACATTGTCTGTTCGGCAGCTTCGTTACGCACTCCATCTTGTTGTTGACAAACATCAATCTTTGAGAACGGCACTTATTTTTGATACTACAAAAAACATTCTCACACAACGAATTGTTGATCAACAGAATCATAAAAACAATCGGTTTTCTATAATCGAAAGCGTTTATGAAACAGATGAACAATTGGATGAAATTGTGCACAATGAGACACACAATCCTCACATTTTCGATCTTGCTCAAGGTCTTGTCTTCCGATGCCATCTTGTTCGTTGTAAACAGGTTTCTACCAATGATCTTATCTGCGACAGCGATATCATCATCTTCAACTTTCATCATGCCTCGTTCGACTGTCCATCGATGAATATATTTATTCATGATCTTCATCAAGCATACACCACAAGTCAGCTACTCGATAATGACAGCATCAACAGACTTCGCTATCTCGACTGTAAATATCCATACTTCTCTTTTTATAATCATATCATGTCTTTCTCTCTTCTTTAGATGCTTTCATTGAACAACATATGCCTATGATTGGTGCAAGCATGTTCTGGCATGATGCTCTGCATGATTACAAACTAGATCAATCTCTCTTATTGCCATATGATCGATATCGACCTACAAATGGATATCGATCTGGTTTTGGAACATCTGTTTCATTCGATTTAGATCGAAATCTTTGTGACACTTTCCTTTATTATACATCTTCACAAAATATCTCACCAGAACATCTGATGTTGTCTATGTATTTTGTCTTTCTATTTAAACTGACAAATGGGGAAACAGATCTATGCATTGGAATGAACGTAGATGGTCGATATAGAGATGAACTTAGATCAGTGATTGGTATGTTTGTCAATGCTATTCCCTTGCGATGTCAACTAGATCCACAATGGTTTCTACATGAACTTGTTAAACATGTTCAAGAGATACTAACCAACAGTCGCAAATACTCTTATTTTCCTCTTCAACGTATCCTTGATCAACATCCACATGCTTCGAAACCTGCATTTCTTGATACATCATTCGAGTTCATGCGATATTCACCACAAGATCTTGGCAAAGACATGACTATAGGTCACAGTCATCTCTCTATAATGCCTATTTCGATCAAGATTAGTGACAATGATATCATGAACAAGTTTGACTTCATCCTTAGTATTCAGCACGATTTCGATATGAATCAACTCTCTTGTACAATCAATGCATCACTTGACTTATTCAATCGACAGACAGTGGAGAAGATTTCACAACGATTTCATTTCATCTTACATCAATTATCTGCATCTATGATTGATAATCAAATGAAGAAACCTATCTATGAAATATCATTAACATTATCAAACGAACAATATCTAATGGAATCGTTGAATAATACACAAGTATCATTTTCATCTCCAGTCACTTGTATTCATCACGAATTTGTATTTCAAGTAATGAAACATCCACAAAAACTAGCTGTTGAACTAGACGAACAATCATTAACATATTGTGAACTTCTATATTATGTTCAAGTGTTATCGTTAACTCTTCTTAATGAATATCTTATCACTCCAGGTGAAATAGTTTGCCAATGTGTTGAGAGAAGTTTGTCGATGGTAAGTTAATTAAAACAAGTAGCTATTAATGAGAGTTTGAGATTGATTTTCATTAGGTGATTGGTATCATGGCAATTGAAATGGTTGGTAGTGTTTATTGTCCATTGTCGCCTCGAGATCCAGAGCAGCGTTTACATGCATTTGTACAACGAACTCAAAGTCGTCTTGTTCTTGTTCATTGGCTGACGAAAATGAAATTTAACAATGATAGTCTTACGACTAACATTCATTCAATACTCGCTAACAATGATGTAATGAGTGATATTGATGCTGATCGACTATCAGGTATTACAGTAACGCCTAGTGACATTGCTTATATCATTTTTACTAGTGGTTCAACTGGAATACCAAAAGCGGTATGTTGACATTTGCATTTCTACCTTAGTTTTCATTGTCCTATATTCTTTTTAACAGATTCAAGCACGCCATGAAAATCTCATTCATTTCATGAACTCATTAGTCAGACTCGACGTATTCAATAAAGATGATACTGTAGTTCAGATCGGACGATGTTCATTTGACATTCATGTTCAAGAAATACTTGGCACTTTGATGCATGGAGCTTCATTGGTTATGGTTCGTCCAGGAGGAACACTAGACTTTGACTATCTCTCCAATATCGTACAGATGAAACAAATTACATATATGTTCATGGTTCCAAGTTTACTTCAAAGCTTTTTCACATTTATCGCACAATCTAGCAAGATAACTACTTCAAAATATTTTCGATCACTTTGTGGTGGCGGTAAGTAGCTTCGAATTGAACTTTAGCGTGTTATTCTGCTTTATCTATTTTTGTAGGCGAACCATTCTCTGTTAAACTAAGTACTTTAATCGCAAATAATAGTGTGTCAGAGTATAATGTATGGAATTACTACGGTCCTGCAGAAATAACAATCGCCTGTACATTTCATCTTATTGATGTTAAAGTTAATTCTAGCAGCATTCCAATTGGTAGATCACCTCCTAACTATCAATGCTTGATTTTAAATAAATTTTTACAAAGTACATCTATTAATCAAGAAGGAGAATTATTTGTTGGAGGTATGGGTGTCTTTGCTGGTTATCTTGGGCATGACGATTTAACTTCAAAAGCTCTTCTTGAAATAGATGGTCAACTATTTTATCGAACAGGTGATCTTGTTACAATAGATAACAATGGTCTTCTCCATTTTCAAGGAAGAAAAGATCATCAAATCAAACTTCATGGACAACGAATTGAACTTGGTGAAATCGAACGATGTTTACTTAACATCACATCCATATCTGCTTGTGTTGTCATAAAATATAATGAAGATCACCTAGTAGCTTATGTTCAATCTTCTCATGTCAATGAAGAACAACTACGTCAACATTGTCAATCTAATCTTCCACCACATATGATTCCATCTTTCTTTATCATTCTTGATAAACTACCGTTGAATCAAAATGGAAAAATAGATCGAAAACTACTTCCATCACCTCACTATCCATCGTCAACTATACCATCGCTAAGAGAACTTGACACACCAGTCAGTCAAATGGAAAAGAATGTGTATGATATTTGGTGCCAGGTGTTGGAGCATAATGGACGATCTATATCAACAACATCAAACTTCTTTACTATCGGGGGTCATTCTCGTTTATTTATTGAACTTTATCATCGTTATCAAACTATCTTTGGTTTCGATAGTCGTACATTATCTATTAGTCCGTTTCTTGAACAACCAACTATTCAACAGCATGCAAAGTTATTAAAGGCAGTCACAACTGATAATATTCGAAGGGAACAATGGTGTTCTCTGCACATTAATCGAAGTAAAAATCTCTGATATTAACTATTAAAATAAACTAAAATGTTTTGTTATTGCATTTTCAGGTATGGCATCATTTGCTCAAGAACGTATATTTCTGGATGAACAAATTCGATTCTCTAATAAACATATTTTCTATAATAATTTTGTTGCACTACGAGTTACTGAAGGTGTCTTATCAACAAGTCGAGTACTACAAGCTCTCCAACTGGTTTTGAGGAAACATGAAATATTGCGTACTTCACTCGTGTTTAATAATGATGATAGTACACTACACCAATATGTCACTGACAATCACAAGACATTTACATTTCTTGATCAGCAAACTTTCGAGAGTGACAATGAACTTCAAAATATTATTTATCGAACGGTTATCAATCCTGATCTGTTCGATTTGTCAAGTGGTCGAGTTTTTAGTTGTCAGATATTTCAACAGCAGAAGACTACACATGAGACTGCTCACACAGACTCTCTTGACAAGTATGATGTTCTTGTATTATATTTCCATCATGCAGCAGTTGATGGAACTTCTATACCAATCCTGTTGAATGGTTTCTATAATGCTTATAGTAATAACATGACAGTTTCACTTGATGAACAATCAGTGAAATATATTGATTATGCTGTTTATGAACGGATTATGGATATGACATCATCTCGTAACTTCTGGTATTCTCAACTAGAAAGATTTAATCTCCAACGTGCATTAAAGCTACCAGTTGATAGACACCGTTTGTCCGCTGCTCAACGATCTAGCTTGGCGTCGGTAGCTCAGATCTCTTTTGACAAGGAGCTGTCGATGATATTTCTCAATTATGCTTCCTTACATCAGATTACACCTTTTCAGCTTGGTTTGACTGCATTTTACGTGTTTCTCTTCAAATTAACTCATGGAGAAACTGATTTATGCATTGCATCTCTTAATGCTAATCGATATGGAAGTGAATTAGAAAATATGATCGGTATGTTTGTTTCAACGTTACCATATTGTGTACAACTCAATTCTCATTGGTCATTTGATGAACTTGTGAAACATGTTCAAGAAAAGTGCTTATCAATTCTTAAGCATTCTCATTATCCACTTCAGCATATACTTACTGATTTTCGACTTAATCAATTGGATGTTCCATTTCTTGAGCTCGTATTTAATTTCTTACCGGTGTCTACAAACATTGATCGATATTCTATAGATAATGTATGCTTAGAGCAAGTGTCAATCGAACAAGCAGATGAAATTTCTCAGTTTGACTTCTCAACAATGTTCCTATACAATCCGACATCAGATGATCATAAACTTTCCTGTCGATTCTCCTGTTCGCATGATTTATTTGACAACACCACTGTTAAAACAATAGCGCAACGATTTCAGCATCTCCTATCACAATTATTTTTGACAAACTCAAATGGCATGGAAAACAATCTATCTATTAAGTCTATCAAAAATTTGTCTTTGATATTGCCTGAAGAAGCGGATGAAATATATACATTATCATTAGATCGCGTGATAGGCGTTACTACAGAAGGTATGTCTAATCCTTTTTTGTATGAAAAGATTCTTTAGTTTTAGAAGAACATCATATAAGAAAAGCAAAGGATAAAAAGATATAGATGACGACGGATAATTGATAACGATAGCCACATACACATATTAAAAACATCTCCAATAGAAAAGTTTGAGGGTGGGTGTGGGTTGGATTGTGGAAGCAAGTGAGAGTGTATGATTAATACGATATGCACGCCCACATCATTTGTAGAGTACGATATTGGAGTACTTTATGATATAATTAGGACACCTTGGTGAGTTTTCATTCGCTGTCAAGGTGGCTAAGATATTTCAAAATATGCTTTTCACTTAGTACGATTATTGCGTGAGTTAACAACAAGTTGCATCCTGCATGGACGATAGCAACGACAGATTTGTAGCATAACAATAGTCGTCGTGTAAAAGAGAATGATATACCGTCTGTAGAGAGGTGTTTTTCATTCATCAATTGTTTCCAGATTCCGTAGTTTTCTTCTAATGTTTATCTCATTTTTAGCACGTAAGATCGAGAAAAAATTCCGTCAACGTTACGTTCTCTTCCTACTAGAATATGGACTTTGAAGAAGAAGACAAAGTCCATTACGGAGTACATCAGTTTCTGCTTATCGAATTAAATTAGAAACATTGATAGCACAAATATGTTCATATATATGATAAAAAGAAGTACAAAAGAAAGAAAGAAAGAAAGAAAAGGAAAGATAAAATCTATAGGTAAATGAAAATGTCATATTATCATAGACAAATTTATTAATTATTTGGGTGAATTTCTATGAATCAGTTAAGTAAGTTTTATCGACTACATAAGTAGTGTAAATTCAGGTAGCACTAACAACAGTATGAACTAAGATTGTCGCTTAAGTATTCGTACTAGAAAAATACTAATATTTTTTGTTAGAATTCTAGAAACTCGCATGACACTTTTACATAATGCTATCAATGCACATAAAAAGTTCCAAAACAATATCGTCCTATCAGATTCTGTCGAGACTAGCAGTATCCACTGATTTTTGTAGTAGAATGCTATCGGATTCGGTATTAGACCTTTCGTCGTGGAAGATATTAAAATACTTTTTCGTAATGCTAATGCAAAATATTAACGCATTTTTAGCATTTAATACTAAGACAGTATCCTTACTACAGGTTCTGCTCAGTTAAAAAAGCGATTCAATGAAAAGCGAGTAGAATATTGATATCAAGTATCACTTGACTATATAACTTTCACATTATAATTCACTAAACTCTCACTATTCTAGCACCAGCATCATTTGCACAAGCTCGTATTTGGCTTGACGAAAGAATTCGATTCGATACAGACAAGCCTCAAACAGCAATCTATAATATGCCTTTTGTTTATCATCTTCAATCAGATCATACTTTATCCATTACACAACTTCGTCGTGCTCTTCATCTCACTGTTAACAAACATCCCTTACTTCATACATCTCTTCCTTTCGACATCCAAAAGAATCTACTTATGCAACGAGTTATTACTGATGATGATAAAAATAATAATATGTTTTCAATCATCGAAACTATTTATGAAACAGATGAACAACTCAATGAGATTTTACACGACGAGAAACGTAATCCTCATCTTTTTGATCTTGCTCAAGGTCTCGTCTTTCGATGTCATATTATTTATTATAAACAAATCTCTTCAAATCATCTTCTTTCTCACAAAGATCTACTTATCTTCAACTTTCATCATGCTCTATTTGACTTTCCATC